GACAGACTTGCTCTCTGTTGCCATTGTTGCTGCTACTCCTCCCATTTGCTCTCTGCTCTTTGCCGCCACTATGAAAGGTTGTTCTCTGCCTTGTGCCACTCTGTCTGCCCTGGAGCCAGCTGAATATGGACTGAACCCTCCACTAACTGTGAGTTAAATAAACCTTTCCTTCCTTCATTTTGGGTGTCGGGTATTTATCCCAATAACAAGAGAAGAGTAACTGAGACATGTATTTATTCAAAGGTCTCACCAACATTTATTTTTTTAAAATAGTGCGTTTGGTAACTGACAGAAGTGCTGTGTTTCAAACAGAGCCTCCATCCATCTGTCCTCCTATTGTACTACCTTCTAGTAGCTGAAACGCATATATTGCATTTGAAAAACAATGTCTGGGAGTCCCTCTCGGAGTCCCTCACCTACCGCACTCCATCACTTTCCCTTATACTTTCTGCAATTTTCTCACCAGCACTATCAAACTTCCCAAGGTTGGGAAGTTCCTCTCCACTCTTAACCTACCAAGAGTACTTACTATATTACCCACTAGAAAATACAAACTCCACTCCCGGGAACAAACTCTTAGGAAGCAGGGACTCTGATTCATTTTTGTTCCCTCTAGTTGTATGTCACACACCTAGAACAATACCTGACACTCCAGCATCTATGTATTTAGTGGGAAAAAAAAAGATAAATGAGTGAACGGGACCTTTAGGTCACCTCCTCTCGTTTTCTGGGATGCTTACCGAAAAACCTTGTCAAACCGACTTTGCGGGGCTGGTGAGATGGCTCAGTGGTCTAAAGCACCTACTTAGAACAAGCTAAACTAAGCAAAAGGACAGCGACCGCGGTTCAATCCCCAGCACCACATGCCAGCCAGCCCCGCCCCCTGGTGGGCTGAACTGGCCACACACACACACACACACACACACACTAAAAAAATAAAATAAATAAAAAAATTAAAAAAAAAAACCGACTTTGCTTAGAATATTCTGCAATTTTTATATGTCTACAGGCTTCTTTCAACCCCTCCAACACACACACACACACACACACACACACGCACGCACACACACGCACACACGCACACACACGCACATCTGCAGCATAGAGAAGCCTGCAGGTCTCAGGGTTAAGCCCATTCTATTTAAGTTCCTACCACACTGGCCCTTCTGCTGGTCCAGACCTTCCAGAGTTGGGTGGATCATGGCTTCATCTACACACTCTCAGACCTTCTCATTTAATCAGCAAAGCTTCCTTAGCATCACAAATTAATGCTTCCTGAAGGGAATATATGGAAGAATCACTTAGAGTCAACCACAAAAGAACACCCTCACACAGGGGGGCAAAATCTTTCTAACATCACCATGGCACATAGTAGGGTTTTCAACAGGCATTTTATTGAGTTGGAAACTAACGTACCGAAATATAGTATGAATTAAATATCTCTAAAGCATTTGACAGGGTCACATGGTATCCTGGTGAGCTGGATAATGAAATTTGGATTGGTTGATATAGTACTGTTAGGGGTTTTTTCTCTTGTCTAATTGCTCCGGCTAAGGTTTTTATACCATATTGAATAGGAGTGGTGACAGTGGACATCACTGTCTTGTTACCAACAACATGCAATATCACAACCATTGTTGAATTCCTGTCATTTTTTTCTTTGAAATTGTATACCACTTCTAATGTTTTTTTTTTTAATTATCTTTTATTCTCTTTAAAATAAAAAAGAGGAGTTTCTGCTGGAAAAAAACATTGTACTTAAACTTCTGGTGAATGGCTCTTTTTTAGTCTCTTGGAGCAGCATAGGATTCCAGTCTAGGATGTTTAAAAGTTTAAACAGTAACTTTACCACCTCCATTCTTATTGAAGATTAGAGATCCAACCTTAACTTTTGTAAGACCTGGTATAGACAGAATTGAATTAGAATCATAGGGGAGGAAAATCAGAATTTGGTGATTCTTTTAAATGTTCCACTGAGACAAATCACTATCTCATTCATATGATTTCTTTCAAATAGATTAATACTAACAAGTCTAGACACATGGCTAATCTCACACTGTTCACATTGTATTCTTTATCTCTTAGATATCTCTCAGAAGTTTTTGTCTTACTTCCACTATTAAGAAATACAAATAGGGCTGGCCAGATAGTTCAGTGGACTAAAGTGCCTGCCTAGGCAGACTATAGCAGCTGGGGTTCGATCCCCAGCATGCTGCTGCCGGCCCCGCCTCTGGGGCATGCTGAGACAGCGATTGACACCATGCCTGGTGGCACCCGCCTGTAATCCCAGTACTTGAGAGTCTTTGAAAACAGGAGAATCATTTCAAGTCTGGTCAACATAGTGAGACCTTGAACATCCTATGGACCTTGTACATTTTTTAAAAAACAAATACAAACAATGCACAATTTCTGGTTGTGAGCATATTTTCCATATTTTCCCCTCTACAATCACCACCCAGCTGTTTGGTCCACAGATTACAAGGCTAAGTTCTCTTCCTCTCAAAACCTCACTAAATATACCATGAAGTTCTTGTGCCCCTTCAAGCTCTTCTTGCTCTCCCATCTGAGTCAGCTTCTCAAATAATTAAAAATCTAAATGATAATAGGACTTACAAACAAGGTGATTTGGAGCAGAAAGTAAGCCTAGAACTTGAGACTCTAGTTCTCAAAATTTTTAAATCAGATGTAATGTCAATTTCTAATACTATAAAAATTCATAATACAGGGCCGGGAAGATAGCTCAACAGTATAAAAGCTTGCCTGGCAAGTGCAAGGTCCTAAGTGTGATCCCCAGGAACCACCCCCCCCATAAAAAATTCATAATACCATCACTTATGTCAGATGCCAGAACAAAGATAATAATGTTTACCTAGTAAGGGGCCAAAATAATCTGCTTGTGATTGGCAACTATTGGTGATCTTTTCCTATCTCATATTATTCAAAGAAGCAGAATTTTAAAGCTGTTCCTGTCATCCATTCATTTCCCAGATGATGAGAATGAGATCTAGAAGATTTATGCAACAAGCCCAATATAGGTGAGAAACAAACTACTACTCAAAGTTCTCAAGGCTTTTCTGGCCACTACAGACAAAACTGGAAACCAAAGCAGCTTGGACATTTGTGGGAGAACACAGTTTCAGCAACAGTGAGGTTCCTAGCAGTGAACCTCATCTTCTGATTAAAACCTATAATGCTTCAGTGTACCCATCAAAAGATTAGCCAGATAAATCCATATTATACATGAGATCGTTTTCATCTAAAAGATGCATCTGTGGCTAGAAAAATCTACTTCTTTAAACTAGTATGTAAGTTCTGTCTTATGGAAGCATTGAGCCAGACCACCATTTGATAGAAACTGTAGAAAGGAAGAAGAACAATAGGTAGAAGGCTGAGTCCACTGACCTCTAAAGTCCTTCCTTCTGTAAAATCATCTAACTCTGGCTGCCCAGGAGTTCAGCACCTAGGCTAGAGGCCACTTCCAAAGTGTTCTGCAGTGTCCTGGAGGTCGGTGCTCTCCTGCCTGCCATGGACCCTGCTCAGAGGCTTCAGACACTACACTAGATCCAATTAACATATAATTGTTAGGCATACAAATACGGTAAGCATACAGAGTATAAAGAAAGGTGGTTGTCATTTCCAAAGACGGAATCCGCCGCTTAGGTTTCAGAACTGCCTTGCCTTTAAATGCAACGGAGCCTCCAAATTCAGCGTCTACAGTTTGCTGCTGTACTATATTACTATCAGAATTAATTACGCAGCATCTTCACGAGGACAAATCAGATATGGATGCAAGTTGGAAGAGCAAGATGCACTTCCCCAAGGAAGATTACTGTATCCGATTCCCCCACTGCTGGAGTCCTTCCAGGTACAGGCATTTGGATGGCAGTCCCCAGCTGGGCTAGCCACAGGAAGGGGGAAGTTGACATGCTTGAAAAATGAAGAATATGCCAACTAACAAGATTCGGGAAGCCAAGACATTATTAACCCCCTCCTTTCTCTGTAATTCCATTTTAAGCTATAATTCAATATACAGCTGTTCATTCGCTTTGCTGAACAGCTACTAAATATTAGAAATGTACTGACTGGACTTTTTCTTTTTGGAATAATGAGTCCAAAAAGAGGTGGGGTTTTTTGTTTTTCTTTCAGAGGGAAATAATTCTATTAAGGGTTGAGTTTTGAAAGTTAAAACAAGCTTTACAAATAGGATTGTCATACTGATGATTTTTACATGAATGGGGTTACCCCCAAAATTTCAAACTCTCTAATTACATGCATGGGGGCCAGGTGTTGCTTATATTTCAGACGGGCAAACTGATGCTCTACAACTCAGTAGCAAATAATAAAATGCAACCTGCAAGCTGCCACAACCACGAGACAGTGATCTGTGCAGACTCCCTGCCCAAGTCTGGGTCACCCTACTTTAAAGGCTCAGCTCCAGCCTAGATCCTGTGGAGGGTGGAGTGTCGGTCATCGGGAAGGCGGAGAACATAGATGCTCTATCTGCCTTTGGCTGTTTTCACCCGCGAATTACGGTGCGGGTATGTGAGGTCCAAAGCACACAAGCCTTGCACTTCGGGCGCTTGGAGGAACCTTCCTTAAGTGATGACATCAGTTGCGTCTGACACCAACATAAATCCTAGAAAAAGCCCCTTCCCCGCTCCTCCGAGCTTTGCAGCACTTTTTCTGCAATGGGTATTTTATTTCGAAAAGGAAAGGACAACTTGGGAGAAGGCTCGAGTTTCAGGCTGCTCGGGGGAAAACCCACACGCGCGTTCTGAGTCAGGCAGGTGCACAAGGAGAGAAGAGGAGAAGGAGAGGAAGCGGCGGCGGGCACAATCGGAGAGGGGCGAAGGAAAAGGCAGAGGAGGGAGAGAGCAATCCTGGGGGCAAGGACCGGGAGAGAAGCCGGGAGGACCGGCAGGAAAGGCGGCGCGGCGGGGAGGCGGCCGCGGGGAGGGCACGGGGACGGGGACGGAGACGCGGCGGGCGCCCGCGCTCACCTTTCAGGACGAGGGTGTCGATGTCCCGGTCGATGCCCAGGAAGTAGCACTTCCTCCAGAGGCCCGCGTAGGTGGCGAACAGCGGCCGGCCGCACGCGGCGTCCAGCCCGCCCAGCCCCAGCAGCGAGCGCCAGGGCTCGGGGTCGGCGCGCCCCGGGCCCCCCGGGAGCAGCCGGCGCCCCAGGGGCGGCGAGTCCCGCAGCGGCAGGTGCGACAGCGGCATCAGGCGGCTCTTCTGGTCCGGGGGCTCGGCGCCCGCGCGGCCGCGCTCGCAGCTCTCCTTGTGGCGCCGGGGGTCCGTCTCGTACCAGTGGTCGGTGAAGATGGCCGTGACGAGCAGCCCCAGGGAGCAGAGGCCGAGGCCCAGGCTGAGCGCCGTGACGAGCGCCCGCGGCTCCATGGCTGCCGCCCCGCGGCCGCCGCCAGACACAATGCGCCCGGCCGCCG